GGGGGGGGTGCAGCGCCGAGAAGGGGGGGTGGGAATTTCGGGGTGACCCCCGAGGCCGGGAAAATGAGGTGAAACTCCCCAAAATCGGGTCCAGCCTGGAATTTTCCCGGTGTTGTTTTTTTTTTTTTTTGCGTCACCCTAAAACGAAGCTGCACCGCGCCGGCCCCGCCTTCTGGGGGGGGGGTTTTGGGGGGGATTTTTTTTGGGGGGTGCTGAGCTCTCACCCTCTGTGTTCTCTTGCAGATCCCCCCAATTCTTCCTCTTCTTCCTCCTCCTCTTCCTCCTCCCAGCCCGTTTCTCTCTTTGCGGCTCCACCAGGCAAGTCTCCCCCTCTTTCCTTTCCTCCCTCTCTTTTTCCTGCACCCCCAGGAAGAAAAATGTCTGGGGAGGGGGCGACCCTAAAAAAGCCCCCTGGATTTTTGGGGGGGGGGGGGGGCCAGAGCCACTTTGGGGACACCCAGAGCTGTTTTGGGGCTCCCCGAGGTCGGTTTGGGGTCTCGATGTCACATCAAAGAGGGGATTCTCCCCCAAAATAACTCTTAGATTTTGGGGGTTTCACCTGTTTTTTTTTTTTTTTTTTGCGGGGGGGAAACGCTGCTGAGCCCCCCCTCCCGAAATGGCAACAAAGGGTTAAACTCACCAAAAATAGACATTTTTCTTTTCCTCTCATTTCCTGCTCTTTAACTCGGTTTCTTCTCCCTTTTTCGGGGTGAGCCCCCCCCCCCCCCCCCCGACCCGCCTGCGCCGTGTCCCACCCGCCGCCCGGGGGGGCTTCCTGGGACCCCCCCCCGGGATGAACTGGAGGGGGAGAGACCCCAAAATCCCCCCCAAAAACGAGGAGGGGGCTGAATGCCACCCCCAGCCTCGCTCCAGACCCAAACCTGGGGGGTTTCACCCCAAAAATGAGAGGTTCTCAGTGGGGACACCCCCAATTTTCAGCAGCCAAAGCTGCGGGTTTGGGGTGTCCTGCCCCCCCCCATCATTCTGAACCCAAACCGAGGGGTTTGAGCCCCAAAATGGGAGCAGGGTATGGTTCCAAAATGGGGGTTTTTAGCCCCAAACTGGGGTCTCTCCTCCCCGGATTTTGGGGTGTGTTTGGGGGGGGTTGGGGGGGAGCCTCTGCGCCGCCGCTGGACCCCCACCTGCATGGGGGGACCCCCAAAATTCTCTGGGGGACCCCCAAAAGCGTCCCCACGCATGGCTGAGATCGGGGGAACCCCTGAATTTTGGGGAGGGGGGGTTTCCCCAGCATGGCTGGAATGGGGGGAAGGGGAACCCCAAAACTCTGCGTGGGGGACCCCAAAACCGCATGGCTGACCCCCAAATTTCTGTGTGGGTTCTGCTGTGGGGGAGGGGACCCCAAAACCGCATGGCTGGGATGGGGGGGGGGACACACCCCAAAAACCCCCACGGTGGGGGGAGCACGAGGCCACCAAAGGAGTCCCTCCCCCCCCAGCAGCGGCACCGGGAGGGCGCGACCGGGGGGCGTCCCCGGGGGGGGGCGGCGCGCAGAGCCCCCCGGAGTCGCCGGAGTCGCCGTTCGAGGTGGTCCCGGACCGAGCCGCCTTCGACCGCGAGTTCGGCCCCGCGCTCGCCCAGATCCCCGAGGGCCGCGTGTGCCACTTCCCGCCCAAGCCCCGCGGCGTCCCCGGTGTCCCCGGAGGTGTCCCCGGTGGCGGCCCCGGTGGCGGCCCCGGGCGGGGGCTGGCCCGGCCTCCCCCCGGCTCGGCGGCGGCGCTGGAGGAGGTGTCGCGCTGCGTGCGGGAGATGCACAGCTTCACCAGCGAGCTGCTCTCCTGGGACCTGGTGGAGCGGCACGGCGGGGACGGCGACGGTGGCGGCGGGGACGGCGACGGTGGCGGCGGGGACAGCCGCGGGGGCGGCGGGGACAGCGATGGCGGCGGCGCTAACGGCGTGGCTGGCGCTGGGAGCGGCGTTAACGGCGTTGGGAACGGTGTCACCGGCATCGGGAATGGTGTCACCGGTGTCACCGGCATCGGGAGTGGTGTCACTGGTGTCACCGGCATCGGGAATGGTGTCACCGGTGTCACCGGCATCGGGAATGGTGTCACTGGTGTCACCGGCATTGGGAGTGGTGTCACCGGCATCGGGAGTGGTGTCACCGGTGTCACCGGTGTCACCGGCATTGGGAGCGGTGTCACTGATGTCATCGGCATTGGAAACGGTGTCACCGGTGTCACCACGATGGGGAAAGGTGTCACCGGTGTCACCGGCACCGGGAGTGGCATCACCGGTGTCACCAGCATTGGGAATGGCGTCACCGGTGTCACTGCCGTGGGGAACGGCGTCGCTGGTGTTGGCAATGGCCTCGGGAGAGGCCTCGGTGGCCTCGGGAATGGCGCGAGCGGTGTCACCGCTGTCCCCGCCATCAAGAGTGACGTCACTGCCGCTGGCAATGGCCTCGCTGGCGCTGGCAGTGTCCCCAGCGGTGTCCCCGGCGTAGGGAGCGGCGTCTCCGCTGTCCCCGGAGGTGGCACCGGTGTCACCGCCGTCCCCGCCGACGCCGACAGCTCCGGTGACTCTGACGACACCGTCATCGAGGAGGCGCCGGGCGAGGCCCCCCCTGCTGTCCCCACGGATGTCCCCAGGGCTGTCCCCGCTGTCCCCAGGGCTTGTCCTCTTTTGTGTCCTCTCCTTGTCCCCCTCGGTGTCCTGCTGTATCTCCCCTCGTGTCCTCTCTTTGTCCCCACTTTGTCCCTCGTGTTCCCTCCTTGTCCCTCTGTACCTCCCCTTTGTGTGTCCCCTCCATGTCCCCCTGTGTGTCCCCTTCACGTCCCTCCGTGTGTCCCCCTGTGTCCCCTCCATGTCCCCTGTGTGTTCCCTCCATGTCCCCTCCGTGTCCCCTCTGTGTCCCCACCATGTCCCCCGTGTGACCCTGCTGTGTCCCCTCCATGTCCCCACCATATGTCTCCCTGTGTCCCCTCCATGTCCCCTGTTGTCCCCTCCGTGTCCCCCGCGTGACCGCGCTGTCCCTGCTGTCCCCAGCGGTGCAGGACCTGCTGTTCTGGCGGGACGTGAAGAAGAGCGCGGTGGCCTTCGGCGCCAGCCTGGTGCTGCTGCTGTCCCTGGCCACGCTCAGCGCCGTCACCGTGGTGGCACACGTGGCGCTGGCCCTGCTCTCGGTCACCATCAGCCTCCGTGTCTACAAGGCCGTGGTGCAGGCCCTGCAGAAATCCGAGGAGGGGCACCCCTTCAAGTGAGCGGGGGGTTTTGGGGACCCCCCAGGGTGGGTTTGGGGGGGTTGGGAGCTTGGGGACACGCCCAGCCCCCCGGTTTGGGGACAGCGGTGTCACCGTGGGGGGACGCGCTGGGTGGCCTGGCTGCTGGTTTGGGCAGGGAAGGGGTTGGGGTTCAGGGGGGTTTGGGGTGTGGGTGGGGATTTGGGGGTTCAGAGGGGTGGGGAGGAGGATTTTGGGGTGTGAATGGGGGATTTTGGGGTGTGCATGAGGTGACCTACGTGGGAGCTGTTTTCAACGGCATCACCCTCCTCATCCTCGGTGAGAACCCCCTGTTCTCCCCCCAAAAGTTTGATTTTGGGGGTGCTGACCCCCCCCCGGAATTAGCACTGAGGGGGGGGTTCCCCCCAAATAACGCCCACCCCCCTTTTTCCCCAGCTGACATCTTGGCCTTCACCGTCCCGCCCCTGTACGAGAAATACGAGGTGAGGCCAAAGTGAAGAGACCCCCCTCAAATTAAAGGGGATCCCCCCCCAAATTAAAGGGGACCCCCCAAAAGGAAGGGGGACACCCTCAGAAATGGAGGGGCACCCCTGAAACCCCCATTTCCCCCCCCCCCTTTCAGGTGCAGATCAATCACTACATGGCCCTCGTCCGCCGCCAGACCAAGGACCTCATGGCCAAGTAGGTGCTCACGGGGCCCCCCCAAAATCCTGGGGACCCCCCCAAATCCTTGTGGTCCCCCCAAACCATCTCTCCCCCCCTCTCTCTGTAGGATCCAGGCGAAGCTCCCGGGTCTGGCCAAGAAGAAGCCGGAATAAACCCCAGGGTGGGGGAGGGGGAATTTGGGGGTGCCCAGCGGTGCCCCCCCCACTCCAAGCTTGTCTTTCCCCTCCCCCCCCAAACTCCACCCACCCCCCCAAACTTGTTCCCTTCC